TTTTTTCACAAAAATAAGAAAAGAATAAAATTATTTTTTATTTTCTTACAAAAATTTAATACTGAAAGACAACCCTGGTGAAAATTGTTCTCATAATTTTTATATGAATTGGAACATTTTTCAGAAATACTCAGAAATATTCGGAAAGTTTACATCTTCTCTCAGAATTTTTTATACAAGTGAATTTTGAAATTTTTCATATAATTTTTTCCATAATTTTTAAAAAATATTTTTCAATTTTTTACATTTTATAACATTTCATCAGAAATTATACTTACAAAAAAATTTAGAAATCTTACATATTTCATAATTAACATACATGAAAAATTCTGAGAAAAGATGTAGATTTTTTGAAAAGTGTTCCAATTCGTATAAGAAAGTTATAAAATTATATAGAAATTATGAAAAATTATATGAACAATTCTGAGAAACATTTTCATCAGAGAATGATTAATTACTTATTTATTTTGGTGTTCAAAATAAATAAGTAATATTCGTAATCAATTTTCAATTAAATTGACCAGTATTAAGGAACCTTCTTATTCTGTAACTCTTAACGACTGTAATGTTGCAGTTACAAAATAGACCCCTAAATTGAGTTTCTGTAAGGATTAGACCGTTGTTAGTTAATCGGTTTTTATTGACTTTACTTATATTCCCATTGAAATACATGCACATGCATACACACAGACGCACATATCACATTCCTTAGAACTTGTGTTATTCATTTATAAAAATCTCTATCTACGTAGTTTCATGTATCATACGAAGTCAAACTGTTATTTTTCTTTCAAAGAAGACAGATCTTAGAATCTTGGGCTAATCGGCTGTCACGGAGCTGTGAGGAATTAATCGTAGACATGGTATTTAGATAATCAGGAAAAAAATCGGCGGTCGAGTCTATCCGGCTTCGATTTTTCAATGTCTCTGTTGATTATTCTTAACATTGTGATGTTTAACAATGAAAATTACTGACACATCATGAATAAAATCCACCGACTAATTCAAGAACGATCGCTTATACCGGCTTGGTGCATTAATTTTACGTTAGCGTTCTACGAAAATCGCGATAACGAAACTCTCGTTCACAAATATTTTCGTTAACGCGATTTCAAGATACTACCGAAAAACACGCTCGTTGATAGAAATGTTCCATCGAGAACTAGTGTACTGCAGTATTTCGCGAAAGAGAGAGCGAAAAAGAAGAAGACTCACCTGTGTAGCGGAGAGATATCTCGGAAAAAGCAACGAAGTTGCGGGCTTAAGTCCATATATACCCAGGTAAGCCTCATTAGAATGCAGATGCTGGGGCCTCCGCACGATTGGCTGGTTCGTCGACCCTGTGCCTCCCGTCAACGTCCAGGCACTGGCAACGACGACGACGACGAGGACTTCCGTGAAGTTGGCACCCGACTTTTATCAATTCAGATTTTAAAGGACGTTTCTTGAGAAGTTTGCCTGTAGATGACCGTAGCAGTCGTATTTTTATTATTTCGTTTGCAGTTAAAAAATAAAAATGTAGATTTGACCGTAGCAGTCATATTTTTATTATTTCGTTTGCAGTTAAAAAATAAAAATGTTATCGATTTTGAAAAAAACAGATAAGGAACTTTTTTTTAGCTACAGCTCAAATGGTATCGGATTCATATATGAAATCGTTTGTAGTACATTTTTTTATTTTTAGTTATAAAGTAGCTTATGACAGATTTTTAAAAAACAGCTAGGAATTAATTTTAAATGAAAAAGCAAATGACATATTCTCATTATAAATCATTTGTGGTTGTTTGAAGTGATTTTTCAATCGTTTGTAGTTGAGCCGTTTAAAAGTTACATTAAATTAACAGTAAACTAAAAATGTGTTATTTTTGTCATTTTTTAAATCAACATAACATATATAACATATATTAAGGTCATTAAAATCAGTGAGGTCGTCGGTGTTTTACCAAAAGCTTATCGTACGACGAATAAAATATCAGCCTTATGCCTGTTTGTTAAAAAAATGGTCGTATAAAACTTGGTCCTATCGTAAAACTGCCTAAATATTGTGCTACCGTGCTTTTAGAACTTGAGCCCAAGTTTTGGCGCCTTTTGCACTGCACCACACTACACTGGTTACGCCTGTGTCACCAATGTAGCGCTAAAATAGCCCAAAATTGTTTATACTAGGCTGTATTGTATTAGCTCGTTACGCGAAATTTGAATATTGCAAACTTAAGATGCCATCCCATATATGATAGATTTTTCATAACACATCACATAATTATATAACATTACGTATTTTTCGAATTATTACGCCTCTTCTATGCGTTTTCTGTTACGCGAAATTTAATTTCCATTTGTCTCATGAAGACATGTGGAACGCAAGAAATAAAGTTGGATGGCATATAATATTATATACATGATAACTAATCATAGATCTGGTTTTCATTCTTGCTAGACTGGATCCCTATTCTTGAAACGAAACGAATACAAAATGTTCCTTTGAGATAAATAAAATAAGATGTATATGTATTATTCCAATATCTAACTTTGAAGTAAGTGGCTCTTCTCATATTGAGTTTATGTACACTAAGAGAAAAAAAATAGTTGTGGCAATTATAAAATACAACTCTAAAATTTAAATACTTATAACTAGTTTTAAAAAATAATACGAACTAAAGTAATACCGAATACTATAAAAATATAGTATTAAATACTACTTTAGTTCTTATTACTTTGTAAAACTAAAATTATTAGAATTATTAATTTAAGTAATTGTCTACTTTTCTTTGAGTGTATAAATACTTTCGTATTAAACATAAAATGCAAGCTGATAACGAAAATAGAGTAATGTAAGTAATGTAATGAAACTACTATTAGAAAAAAGGTCATTAGAAATGCTACAATTATTAAAGCGAAAGAAGAGACGCTTAAAGATCACATGCTGGGCGCAAATTTTCTTAACACGGCCTTGCCGATGATTGCATTTACACGGACATCCTAATCGGATTTAATAACATCCGTAGTCATGAAATTGATGGCCATCTATTCCTCTGAAGAATGAAATAATTGTGATTGGCCAAATGTGTGTCATTTTGGCCAAAGAATGTAAGTACTTTTTCTTCATAAACATCATAATTTAATTATTAAAACAATAATTATTATTATTAAAACAAATATTAAAATTAACATTTATGAAAAAAAGCTATATGATTTCAGTCGAAACTGACACATAATGAGTGTTCATTTTCAGTTTCGGTAAAAATTTCCGTCAGACTCTAATAATAACGCAGTTTCCAGATTAAAGAGTGTCACGTAAACGTAGTTAATGACACAAATGTATAAAGTGAAGACTACGTTTACACAAGTTACAATATCAATGTTATGAAGCTAGCCAATCACAGCTATTCCTCTGAAGAATGAAATGACTATGATTGGCCAGTTTCATTCAAGTTATAATATCGCGCGATATTATAACTTCGTCGTAAATCGAGTCGTGTAAACGTAGTCCCTTTGACATGAGATGTATCTCATTAAACTTTCTCGATTAAGAACGTTGTCGCGAGCAGTTTAAATATCAGCTTCATTCCAATCCGGAAATTGTAATCGAGAGTGAGCAGGTCGACCATTTTCCTCGATTATTCCGAGTTTTCGGGCTTGATATCGGATATGATGCGTATTTTACAGGAAGTTGGAAAAGCGACTGACGGGTCGACCTGTTCGTCTACCTCGGGTTTTCACTGCTTTTGAATATAGGATGAATATTGGCTCGCTTCGCGAATCGAGCATTATATCGCCTTCGCATTTACAAAGCTGTCACTGTCGGCCCACTCGTTATGTGTGAAAGGGGTATTATGTTTTAATAATGGACAGCATCGCGTGTCAAATTCATCCGGTCGAGTGAAAACGCGTAACATTTATTTTGTTCGACCAGTTTTGAATCGCATCGACCATACGATATGCCGATGTATGTACATGCATATGTACATCAAGTATGAATATGCTGTTGGTAGTTTCGCGATATTGAAGCATTCTTTTCATACATTATATATTATACATTATATTTAGTGATCTCATGATTTTGATATATAAAGCCATACACAGATATTTATTGAAATTTAATAGATAAAACAATACATTTATTGTAATATGCATTACAACACAAAACGCTTTATAAAATTAGTTTAAGGGGATTCTAAAGCTGTCTTATTGACTAAATCATATAATTTTTGTATAACAATTACTTTTTTCTTTTTTTATAGATTCAAAAATCTTTTTCCAAGATTAAAGTTTACACGCATTAATACATGTCTGTCAGATGAAGTTTATGTTAAGAACAAAAAATTAAAATATTTTACCATTTCTTAATCCAACATGGCGCTCTAAATCTGTCATGTCGTGACAGTTCTAGAGCGCCATATTTAATTCGTATAAAAGCTGTACAATAAACTGTTCGAAATAGTAGCCCAGACTAGTAGTTTACACGAAGAAAAACATAGATTCTTAAAATTGAACTAGATGTCTAGTTACAACATTATTCTTATTGTATTGAACTTAAATCATTTGAGCCTTATTATTTATTTATTAATTTTAAAATGTTATTGTTATACAAAAATTTATGTGTATGTGATATTGATGTAGTAGTAAATATGTCATGACATGTCAATGACACATAAATCGTTTGTGTGTAGATTCTATTTACACTACAACTAATTATCTTTGAGATCCCCTTATAATAATGATAAATTACAATACTGGGATTCTCTCTCTCTCCTATATTAATTCAAGATAATATAATAAAATAGATAGACAATAAAATGATTTCAAAAAATTTGATGGTTGAAACTTAATGAAAAAGATACTGATAGGAAATCAGATTAAATGAAAAAGATACTGATAGGAAATCAGACATTTAAATTTAATCTTTAGTAAAAGTTTTTGGAACAAAACTTAGAATTTGATATTAATTTAAATATTCAGATATATTTGAAATTATATTGATATGTGATATAGACAATCGTAATTTCGATATTTCTCAATATTTTAGAAAAGGAATTATTATTCTTGTAATGTGAAAGTAACACAAAAAATACAGTTGTTGAAGTATGAAATTGCTATACTAAACTATAACTTCATAAATAAGTCGAGATTATTTCTTATGTGGAAGGATCTTATAAGCAACCATTTTGCGTGGAAGCCAAATATTCATTATATTTTTTTTCTTGTGCTTGCTGTAACTTTTGCAACTTCTTGAATAAACTTTTGCTAATTTCTTTACCTTCGGCATCATGTGTTGGTAATCCCTGCATATATATAGAAATATTTTAAAAAGTAGAATGAGAATATAAATTCAATATAATGTAAATTTATGATATAATGAATGTTATATGCAAGATGAGCAAAATATTTACCTTATCATCAAATTGAGAATATTTATCTTTCTCCAATCTGAACATATCGCTTGGCGATATTCTTTTCTGCGCTTCTTTTGCTGCTGCTACAGCAGCAGTCTCTGCTTTTATTTTTTCCTTCTCTAAGATTTTCTCAAGTTCTAGTTTCTTCTTAATTTCTTTCTCCTTCAACAACTCTTCCCTGTTGACTAATTTTACTTTACACTCTCCTTCGTTACTATCTTCCAACCGCACACCAACGTTAGGTAAAATATCATCCCGCAATTGATCGCACTCTTGTAAAATATCTTTCGCTTTCAAAGTTTTCGCACAATTTCGAACTTTTTCTCGGAAATTCACCAGAATTTCAACATATGGCATAACAGTTTCTTCAACCTAATCATGAAGTATACAAAAATATATATGATGTCTCGAAATTTATGAATCAAAATACCAGAGCAAGAAAATTTTCGAAAAATTAAGTAAAAATTCGTCTTTAAAAACTGTATTTTTAAAAATAATTTAAATATAAATTAATTTTTAGTATTCAAATGTTCAAGAAGCATTTTTTATTCTCAGAAAGACTCATCTTTTTTTAAGCGACTCATTATTTTCACATTTTTTCGAGAATAAACTTTTCTCACTATTTTTGAGAAATAATCTCTAACCGCTCCCTATAGTCTTGAATGATAAAGTAATCTGTAATTGATTATATTTCAATCTTCATTATATTTCAATTTCTTTTTATATCTTAAAATCTATTGCTTAAAATAAAAATTTATAAGAAACATTTTTACATAAATTTTCGAAAGCTTTCTTACTGTAGTATTTTAATTCGCGAATGTCGAGACACTCCATATATATGTATTACAATTACAATTTCAAATCGTATTTTAAAATGCTCATATTTATATAAATTTATCTTTTGTTTCAAAATAAATAGATAAAAAGTTAAACGAAAATTGGAATACATATCTTCCAAATGCTTGAAAATCCTCAGTTACTAAAAAAATATATTTAAAAAAAAATTACGTGACTTAATTCCTACTCAAATTTGTTCTTTTCGAATTAAATTGAAGTAAATTGCAAACTCAGATTTTTCAAAGGCTATTCATATTGTAAGACATGAAATTAAAAAAAAAACAGCGCAAAATTTGAATAGCTACACTTTAAATTAAATTTATCGATGTAAAAGAGAACTTGCTATTGTATTTATACTGATCTTACATTTGTATTGACTATCTCATCATTAATTGGAAATCCAATTGAATTGTACGAAGAAGAAACAGCTCCAAAAATGGTAAATATCTTCGTAATATACACGGCGATATCCCTAAGAAGAAGCAAGTTTGGATTTTTACTTTGACTCATGTACACATTGCAATTTGTCACGAGCTCCCGTATTAAATTGAGAACAGTTCTTGTATCAATATTGTCTGCAATAGACAAATTTTTTTAGCCATACACGTAATCTATCAATGATTATGAAATAATTAAGACTTACCGCACAATGCTTTATGTATAGAATGCTTTGCAAGATAAAATTTCTCATTGAGTTTCACTTCCAAATTAGACCATTTAATAAAACTATCAATAGTAGTAGTAGTATTTGTTCCCAAACTTCTAATCTTACATTTTATATTTAAAAAAAATTCCTGGAAAATAAAAACAGAAATTTTATTTTCTAAATATGTAAGTCTAAAATTATGAAGATTTCAAATATACCTGTTAATAAAATTTTTGCAATAAGTAAATTTTATAAATATTTCGCAAATTTCAAATAAATATAATTCCGCGAAAAGTATTTAAAAAATGTTTGCAATCTCTCTCTCTCTCTCTCTCTCTCTCTCTCTCTCTCTCTCTAAAAGTAAAATTTATACTTAAAGAAGCCGCTTGATTTTGGAATGTCAAAAAATTTTGACATGATTTTCATAAATTTTTTTCTGCAAAAACGATTAATAATCAATTTCAATTCAATATATTTTTTCACTTTAAGATTCCCGAGTAGTCATCACAGCTATATTCGTGACATCAAAAACGAGAAATTTACGTTAATTTTTGCGTGCATTTGTAAATAAAGATGAATAAAGAATTATGTTTATCCTTCCTAAAAATCGATAAATAATCACGATGTTTTTGTGTTAGCATACGTAATTCCATCATAATCTTGAAATGCTACGCAATTGGTCAAAATTCGCCCATCTCCATTCCATCATGCGTAATGCTTCATCTTTTTGACTCCATCAAATTTTTAAATAACGGTAACAGTAACAAGTTATTTTTGAGAATCAGTTTTTTTAAACAAATAATGAATTATACCATCACACTACTCAGTTTCTTTTTATAAAAGCGTGTAGAGAGTTATTGAGCTCAAGAGTGTGCGATCGCGTGTGCGAATATAAAGGTGTCGCACGAGCAGTGAACTCGCGACGCCTATAGCGAACATAATATCATTTTAAGTTTATAATATCATATCAAAATATTTTATGATACATATAAAAAAATTTTATACTCACATTAAGAAATTTTTCATATTGTACAGCCATATTCATAGTATTATCACTATAATCTAAAGTGTCTTTCCATGAATGCAGAAGAAAAGCAAGTCTGAGTTGTCTACTTGAATATTTCTTTAAAGCGTCTTGTATCGTTACAAAGTTCTTTAGCGATTTGGACATCTTGCAGCCAGCTATAGTCAAGTGGCCAGAGTGCAGGAAATATCTAACCCAATGTGAGTTATTGAAACATGCTTCTGCTTGCGCAAGTTCATTATCATGATGAGGAAATTTAAGATCTACTCCGCCTGTATGGATATCTAAACTTTCTCCACAAATTGCAGACGCCATGACCGAGCATTCAATATGCCATCCTGGACGTCCTCTGCCCCAAGGACTCTCCCACCAAGGTTCACCTGCCTTTGAACATTTCCAAAGTGCAAAGTCTGTTACCGATTTCTTTTCAGAGAGTTTATCTGCTGTAGTACTCAAATCGCCTTAATAGAATAAAGAAAAAAGAAAAAGTTAATTTATTTTTAAAAATAAATTTTTTTAAATCAAATATGTAACAGATAACGCGTTCAGCAGAGAAAACTGATCAGTGAGTGCTCAGTTTTTTGGTTCTTGCCTTTCTTCCCTGAATCCAAGTATAAAAACCAATCATATGAAAAGATCACTAAGCGTTCATTGATCAGTTTTATCTAAAAAAAAAACGCAGTTAACTCAAACTTACCTTCTCCCTCTTCTAAGCTTGACGTATCGCCGTACGCTTCTGGTACAAGCTTGGCATAAGAATGTTTCTCTTGTTTATCAAATTTGTCTACGTCAAAGTATACTGATCCATTACTTTCATAAGCATATCCATTATCTATTATTTGTTGTATAAATGTTATTATCTCCTCTACATATTCGCTAACTCTTGTGAGTACGTTTGGTTTTAATATCTAAAAGATTTGTGAGATAATTATAGTAGTTATAAACCAGGTTAGTCTTAAAAATAACAATAAAAAAATTCAAATCTTACATTTAAAGCGTCCATATCTTTATGAAATTCAGCTTCCCAATGTTTCGATATTTTATTAAATATGGAATGTTCCGTAATTGTGCTACCTTTGATTTTGTCTAACCAGTCGGCTAAAGGATCTTTAGCCTCTTTCAATAATGCCTGTATGGTTAAATACATTTTATTTAGCCCTATAACTTTGTTCCTTAGATATTTTTATAGTCGATTGTTTTCGAAATATTTGAACATTTCCAAACTTTTTGAAGACCATGTATATCTTAAGCAATACTTACGTCTTGAAACCTTATAATCTTTTTTTCATCCTTCTCTTTTACTGCCTTCTGCAGATCTTCGATAGTTCTTGTTATTTTATACAACATTTGTTCTAACATGCATTTCTTATCGGCACTACTTGTAGTTCTTACAACATTTTCAAAATTAGACATTACTTCTTTGACATCATCTAATATACTATTAAGGCTGTGATTTTCTTCCACATATTTTTCATACAGATAATTCTGTCTTGCTCTTTTTATGATCTTATCATCTATATCAGTAATATTCATCACGTATAAGATATCATATCCAAAATACAGAATATCAAAAGATATATATGATCTGTAAAAAACATATATGATCTGCAAAAAACACATACATATATGTATATGCTTGGAAAGACGTTTAATAAATATACTGAATTTAAATATAACTGAAGCAGGGAAGAGATAAACTCTCTCCGAGATAATTTTGACATATGTTGCCAAAATCATGACTGAATGACCTTCAAGTTTCAGCTATAGCTTATTAATTAAAAAATTATCAACAAAAAGAAAATTAATAAATCTCACTTATATATATTTAAAAAGTAAATAAGGAATTAATTCTATTCTTAATTATTTTAATTTCTTTGATCAAATGTGATATTCTTGTTCAATCATATTCACTGTCAGTATACTTTCACTTGTTAAAGAATCTTACTTTGTGTTATTCAACATGCATCTACAAGAGTTTATTAATTATATAATATACAATCTTGACTGTCTACATATAAAATATTTATTATTTATTATGCAAAAAAAAAGAATAATTCATAACAAAATTAATTTTTAAGAAATTATGTCTTTGAATAGAAACCTATGTGGAACCTCACTCTGAGTGGAATGTATAGGCCTGTGTGCAATGGATTTCATCTTCCCTACAGGAGGGACTCCAATATTAAAAAATCAGACGCATAGCTTTAGATTGAATCTTGCTGAAAAGTTGTAAACCCCAAGTTGTGAAACCTTACTTTGTATGAGTTTATAATTTTCTATAAAAAATAAAATTTAATCTAAACTTGTGTCCAATTTTTATTAGTAGAAGAGAAGGAAGTGAAACTCACTGTCTCTCCACATATTACATTTTATAATGTAAAGTGAGATTTCACACAGGTTTATACTTCCCAAGCAAAAATTTACATACATTTTATTACTGTTTAAGATATCAGAAAAAATAATTAACTTTGATAATTAATAACTTTTTATTTTATCAAATAACAAGCAATAACTTAATAACCTGTTGAAAGTTACTCAGAGTTGTGATCTTGACAACATATGTCATTATAACAAGGTATCTTCTATTCTATTAGTAGAATATTTATCAGATACTTAAAACACTTCAAATATATGTACAATTGTATAATAAATACACTATCAAAAAATATGCCAAGTAAAATTGTTTCATAAAAAAACTATTATATCAAATGAGAGAAAGAGAGAATAAGAGATGCTCAAGCATACAATTTAGCAATATCAGTACCTTGCATGACCCATGTGAGATGCATCATAGACAGTAGGTCCACAACTGTACCACAAAACACGATTTCCAAACTGCGGGACAAATATCTCCTTCTCTCTAGTCAAACTGTTGTACAATCGCAGTACCATGGCATCCTTTCTATCTGGTAGATGCCAAGTTGGTTGTGTTCTCTTGGCCATTTCTAATTCGAAGGAATACAAAGCATCACTTCTTTAGTCAAAAATAGATTTTTCGTACAGATTAACCAAAACATTCCTTTTAAATCCAAAAGCACTCCGAGCATGTACTTTATCAAAATATTTAGGAAATCTTTTAACAGTGAACAAAATTCAATTGCTTATTATTAATTTACAATTTACCTTTCAATGTAGTCTTTTAAAATCTAGTTGAGGGAGTTTCAAGAGTCTGAAAAATCAAACCAAATGAAAAACCTATTTGATAACACGTGTTCTATAGAAAGCAACATTCAGGTACTCCGATGACGTTACTGGGAAGAAGGAATACATCAGTCAGATAGAATCAGGGGAAAGTGGAACGGATCCATCGGAAGCTATCATTTTCAGCTCACCGTTTGATAACAGACAAAATATTTAACCTCTTTAAAATATAAGTTAATATTTAATATTTGCAGACGAAAGCATATGTTCGTAAATATTAAATGATTTGACATATGTCTACTACCTAGGCCTACTGGACAAGACGAGCGATGAGCGATATCCAATGAGAGCTCAGTTTTACATCGTCATATGAAAAAAAAACAGAGCTTTCATTGGATACGTTCGTCGCTCATCGTATTATGTCCTCAAAAGAGATTGGACATCATTTAGACAATTTTTGATTGGTCGCCATATTTTTCAGGATATTTAAAATAAAATGAAATAGATGCATAAAATAGAATGAGATGCGTGTGTATCTAATTTTATAGCCGTTTCAAATTTATTGCCGGTAGCAGTCAATGGCTGCGTTCAGCAGAGAAAACTAACCAATCAGTGCTTAGTACTTTAATATGATTGGTTTTTGCCAATTATATCAAATTATTATATCAAATTCGCGCTACTATCGTAAATTCCGAATACTTGCCTGAATCATTAGTAAACGTACACACACATCACACACACACACACACCACACCACACACATATAAGGTCTGTTTTCTGTGGTTGAATTAGTGTACACTTTTGGAACTTAAAGTGTGATAGATATACGTTTGATATTTGTTAAGGCCGGAATCAGACTATGCATTGAAGATTGAGATTAAAGATTAAAGATTGAAATTTCACCAATGAGGACAAAGAAGTTTTGGTTTCTTTTGTTCTAATTGATCTAGTACTTCATTCTTTCAATCTTCAATTTTATTCTTCAATACGTGATTCCGGTCTAAGGCCCGGTTCCATCTTTTGATAAATTTTACCTATTGGGTAAGTAGCAAGATTAGCCAATTACATGCGCGATTGCCAAATTTACCTAACAGGTAAAATTTATCAAAAGATGGAACAACCGGTCCTAAAGCGAGAAAGAGAATTCTACAATAGAACAGACTAGTGCAGGAACAGAAAACAGACCAAGATACATATATACACATTTACGGAAGTTGAACTGAACCAATCAGAAAAGGGAACACTATCCGCTATCACTCTCCCTCGATTTTCTTTGGTTAAGGCCAATACAAATGCTCCGAAACTGTCGCTAGGTTTCCACGGTGATTGGCCGAGCCTTGAAAGGCCAATCCAATCACCATCGTTGTTTGTCCGCAATGACCGCGTAAACTTTTTCCGGCCATCTTGTTATTATTTTCGAAAATCTTGAGGTTGGATTTTCGGAAAGAGACGCAAGACGCAATAGAGTTGATGCGAACGCCTCCGACACTGTGTTTCCAATTAACTAACGTGAGAAAAACGTTGCTCGCATGAGGTTGAGAGCGCAGGATTGCGACGAAGAACGGTCTGGGCGGTGGGTATCGTATGAACCTCTCCGTAAAGTCGATCCTCGTCTTGCTCTGCCTTGCTCAGCCTTGCTAGCGACCGTCGCAATAGTAGCAGTAGGAAGCAGAGAGCGAGAAAGACGAAGGGAAAGAGAGAAAGAGAGAGAGAGAGGGAGAGCGAAAGAGAGAGAGAGAGCGCACGACACGAGTGCTAGCGAAAAGGCACGACATAGATAGGAGGAATGACGAGTGCGTGAAACGAGGTACGAAAGTTGGTGGTCGTACGCGGGAATCAGCGGTTGTGTATTTGACCCTTTTATGCTTGTGATTCGCGCCGAAGTGGCTCGACCGTCGGCGCGGAACGTGTGCTTTTTTTAATTTCCAAAAACAGCGTGAGTACGTGTATGATAGTGAGCACGGTAAGTCGCGCGTCGTTTTCCCGCGGCGCCTTCTCCACTCTCGGGGGGGCTCCTGACGACGCAATCAACGGATGAATGGGCAGCCGACTCTCGGGGACGCCGAGGATCGCGTGAGTGAGGTACGTCTGCGGCCATCTCCGCGGACGTACCGCTGCGTCCTCGCCCGAACGTCAAACTTGTCTATCCCATCCGTCCGCGTGACAATTTCCATCCGCGGCTCGATCCACATAACCTTGCTTCCGATTGTCAAATGTAGGTTAGATCAAGTGATCGGCGGCGGCGGATCGGCGGTCCTTTCGCAAACAGGCACGTCACGAGGAGGAATAATCCTTCCCCTCGTCTTAATTCTCATTGTGCTCCGGTTCCCCGCGAATCGCGGAGATCCCTCTCGGGTTTTTGTGGGCGCAGCGCGAACACGTGCGACGTAGTTCCTAACGGCACCCTCGGCTATTTTGGAGTATCGTTGCTCTACGTTTGCCGTTTCGATAAATTCGCACAATCTCAAAACTTCTCCGCGCTAAACTTCTAATGGAGAACAATTTATATCTAGAGTAAAACTCTTATATACGTCGAAATCAATATGTCCATTTCTTTAGGAATTTGAAGCATCGGATATGTTGTATCTATCTTGCTTCACTTTTATAACTTAAAATGGTTCAACAACAAATTCGGTTAAACGCATTAATGCACACTGGTGTATTTTTAAATGATTGTACACTGATTTAATCTGAGTATTAATGTGAAATTTCTCAAATGATAAAATGTGTGTCTAGTAAAGTATATATTTTACCAAATAGTACAATAAATTATTTTAAAGATTTTACAGTTTTATTCATTTATATACTTACATTAAACATACATTCTTACTTTGATTTGTATACAATGATTGTAATATATACTAGGAACACATCATTTGACCACATCTGATCATAGCGATTAGTGAATTGAACTTGAAGTTTTCCTACTGGATAAGCATTATAAATTATGGCTTACAGTCAATCGCAATGTAATCAAACTCATCCATGTATACTAGTGTACATTAGTGTATGCTACCAAATTCACTATTAGGTTCACAAAACTTAAATTTACATCAACCATATCCATCTACTTGCTAGTCAATATATCTAAGTATATTATTAAATGCAAGATTATTTTATGTGTCTCTTTTATTTAAAAGGTAGAACATACAAAAGGACATACAGTTAAGATACATACAATGGCAACTTTGGCTGAGCAAGCATCTAAATTATTGGACTTTAATCAGAAATTGGATATAACTCTTCTCGACAATATAGTAGGATGTATGTACACTGGGATAGGTGAGCAACAAAGAGTTGCCCAAGAAGTATTAACAACTCTTAAAGAACATCCAAATGCTTGGACACGGGTAGATACCATTCTAGAATATTCACAGGTAAATGTCAACAAATATTTTTTGTATCTGTAGTTGCATATACATATATATATAGTAGTATACATATCTCTGCAAATAATTATATTGTTGCTTCAGAATCAACAAACAAAATATTATGGTTTGCAAATATTGGAACAAGTTATAAAGACACGATGGAAAGTATTGCCGAGAAATCAATGCGAAGGCATAAAAAAATACATTGTAGGCCTTATCATAAAAACAAGCAGTGATCCAGAGACGATGGAAGCTTCCAAAGTTTATCTTAACAAACTTAACATGATCCTTGTACAAGTGAGTAAAAATTATTTCTCTGATATATTTGTTTATGAAATATCAATTATATAATACAATATTATTCTGTCAGGTACTAAAACGTGAGTGGCCAAAAAATTGGGAATCATTTATCAGTGATATTGTTGGTGCAAGTAAAACTAACGAAAGTCTTTGTCAAAACAATATGACTATCTTAAAACTTTTGTCAGAGGAAGTATTCGACTTTTCTAGTGGTCAACTCACTCAGACAAAGGCAAAACACTTAAAAGATACAATGTGCAGTGAATTTTCACAGATATTCCAGCTTTGTCAGTTTGTGATGGAAAATTCACAAAATGTTCCGTTAGTAGCAGTCACATTAGAGACGCTCCTGAGGTTTTTAAACTGGATTCCACTTGGTTATATTTTTGAAACAAAATTGATAACTACTTTAATATACAAGGTATTGTGTATATTTTTTTCATTACTTTTCGTCTTAAGGTTTTTATTTACTCTCAGATTATGACGTTAAAAGTAAGAAAACAAAAATTTTTGTAAATTACATTTGAATAGAAATTTATTTTTCAATATTTATTTTTCAATAAAACAATTTGCAATTGATAGAATAGATTTATGAAATATATCAAAAACTTTTGTTTTAGAGAGAAATTAAATCAGATTTATTTCTATTATCTTATATTATTAAAGAGGGACATACATCCAGATAGGTTAAAAAGATGCTTATTATATACAAATTTTTTTGATGATTTAACTTTACAAGATTTTAACCAATACCTTAACGTATATTAATGAAAATTTTAATTAAAAATTTTAAATAACAATATTCTTATTAATATACATGTAAAATATTAGTTGAAATTTTATCTGAATAAAGTTTATAAAAAGAGGCATTTTTGACTGTTCAAGATGTCCTCCCTTAATTTGACAGTTTGTTATATCTGTGAACATAGCTCATTTCATTTTTGGTTTTATATAACTCATTTTTAGATATATTTACTGTGTATATTTATTTACTGTATATTTACTGTGTATTTATTTTTATGTATTAATTAACATTAAAAAAATAATAAATTTTATTATAAATAATTAATTTATAATTTGGTTCTACTAAATTGTAAGTATTGTTTTATTGAAACATATTTTTATATAAATATATTTTATAAGAATCTTTATTGTGAATTTTTAGTTTCTGGTATTACAATCTGATATAAGTGGTGAATGAACAAAAACCTTAAATACGAGTTGGTGGCTCTGCTATTATTTATAATAATCTATGTTTTCAATTTACAGTTTTTGAACGTACCAATATTTCGGAACGTTACTCTAAAATGTCTAACTGAAATCGCAGCAGTCGTCGCCATTATGCCGAATTATGATGATATGTTTATTATATTATTTATCAACACGATGGAGCAATTGGAACTAATGCTTCCGCTGGAAACTAACATACGTGAAGCATACGCGGCTGGTCAAGACCAAGAACAAAATTTTATTCAGAACCTAGCTATGTTTCTTTGCACTTATCTAAAAGATCATGGCGATCTAATAGAAAAAAAACAAATGAATGAGATATTAGTAAAGGCATTACATTATCTCGTTCTTATTTCTGAAGTCGATGAGGTTGAAATCTTTAAAATCTGTTTAGAATATTGGAATGGATTAGCAGCTGATTTGTACAAAGAGAATCCTTTCGTGACCTCGTCGCCGCTTTTCATGTCTAAAAACATGACGGTTCCACCTCGGAGATTATTTTATGGTCAAGTTTTAACAAAAGTACGTTATATTATGATCAGCAGAATGGCGAAGCCCGAAGAAGTACTTGTTGTGGAAAATGAAAACGGCGAGGTTGTCAGAGAATTTATGAAAGATACTGATTCTATTAATCTCTATAAAAATATGAGAGAGACTCTTGTATATCTTACTCATCTTGATTATTTGGATACGGAGAGAGTAATGACAGAGAAACTGCAAAATCAAGTTAACGGTACAGAATGGTCTTGGAAGAATCTCAATACGGTAACTGTCTTTTTCAAAATACGTATTTTATTCACATTTATAAATAATAAAATGTATTGAATGAAAGACGAGAATAATATTATATTTATTATGTCTTTATTTTTTTGTTAGTTGTGTTGGGCAATAGGTAGTATTTCGGGGGCTATGCATGAAGAGGATGAAAAACGTTTTTTAGTAACTGTAATCAAGGATTTACTTGGTCTGTGTGAACAAAAAAAGGGAAAAGATAATAAAGCTATAATTGCCAGCAATATCATGTATGTTGTTGGCCAGTATCCACGGTTTCTCCGAGCCCATTGGAAATTTTTAAAGACTGTTGTAAATAAACTTTTTGAGTTTATGCATGGTAAGTAGATATTTTTATTATGGAAACATTTTGTTGTATAATACAATTTGAACATAAATAAATGGATCTTTGTTCATGTTTTAGAGACGCACGATGGAGTGCAAGATATGGCCTGCGATACTTTTATTAAAATAGCATTGAAATGCAGACGACATTTTGTTACTGTACAAATAGGGGAAGCAATGCCGTTTATTGAAGAAATTCTTTCTACAATTAGCACAATCATATGCGATCTTCAAACACAACAAGTAAGATTAGTCGTAATATTTATTTTACATATTTGTTAATGTAATGTGTAATATTGTCCAATTACAATCTAATGTTGTATAATAGGTACATACATTCTATGAAGCAGTTGGCTATATGATAAGTGCTCAAGCTGATACTTTAGTGCAGGAACAGTTAATCGAGAAATACATGCTTCTCCCTAATCAAGTTTGGGATGACATTATTAGTCAAGCATCTAAGGTATGTGGTATCTTGTTGTGTTAATCATAAGAAAACAGATTTATATTTATATATTAGGTGTTGGAATTAATTCGTAGCGTTTTTTAATGAAAGAATGTTATTTATTTCACATGAGCATTAAAAAATACATTAATGAAAGTACTTCCCATCACTTGTAAAACGCTACGAATTAATTCCAACACCTAATATAATGCAATTGTATTTCAATATAAATATCTTTCACCAGAATGTAGATGTCTTAAAGGACCAAGAAGCCGTGAAACAACTCGCCAGCATCTTAAAAACAAATGTTAGAGCTTGTAAAGCTCTTGGGCATCCATATGTGATGCAGTTAGGGAAAATATACTTAGATATGTTGAATGTTTATAAGGTACATTCCTCTACTTGTATATAAAAATTTTCGATAGTAATTGATACTTAATGCAAGTTTACATTTGTTTACATTTGTTTAGGTTATGAGTGAAAATATAAGTGCTGCGATTGCTGTAAATGGTGAGATAGTAATGAAACAACCTTTAATCAAGAGTATGAGAGTAGTGAAAAAGGAAACATTGAAATTAATATCGGATTGGGTGAACAGGACGAATGATCATCAAATGGTAAGTTTTCTTAGTCATAAAACTCGTATATTTTTCGTTTGTCCTTCTAAAAATTCAAATTTATCTCCTTATTTATTTCATTTATACATTATATACTTATGGGGATTTTCTTTAATAGGTATTGGAAAACTTTATTCCACCGTTACTAGATGCTGTTTTATTGGATTATCAAAAGACGAATGTTCATTGTGCTAGAGAGCCTGAAGTGCTTAGTGCTATGGCCACCATAGTAAATAAACTAGAAGCCCATATCACTAGCGAGGTGCCCAAAATATTTGATGCAGTATTTGAATGTACTTTAGAAATGATAAACAAAGACTTTGAAGAATTTCCGGAACATAGAACAAATTTTTTCCTCCTCTTACAAGTAAGTGAAGCAATATCCATTTGCTTATTTTTATATGATTAAATATTCCTCCGAGTTATACTTGAAGATTATTTTATCTTTATTTTTTAATTCAGGCGGTGAATATTCATTGTTTCCCTGCATTTCTTTCAATTCCACCGGCTCAATTTAAACTGGTTCTTGACTCGATTATTTGGGCTTTTAAACATACGATGAGGAATGTAGCTGATACAGGATTACAAATTCTTTATCAACTTCTATTAAATATTGAACAGCACGAACAGGCAGGTCAAAGTTTTTATCAAACATATTTTACGGATATTCTACAACATGTATTCAGTGTTGTCACAGATACATCACACACTGCAGGTAAAGTAATAATACTATTGTCATTGATTAATTAATATTTACATTAATATTAATCAATATATATTGTTTTTATGTATTTGATTTTATTAATGTGTACAGGCCTGACTATGCACGCGACTATTCTCGGTTATATGTTTACACTGATTGAACGTGGGAAAATTCAGGTGCCGCTCGGCCCTGTGCCTGATAATACTTTATATATACAAGAATTTGTTGCAAGATTGCTTAAAGCAGCCTTTCCGCATTTAACCGATAATCAGATTAAAATAACTGTACAAGGTTTGTTCCATCTTAATCAAGATATCAACGCATTCAAGGAACACCTCAGAGATTTTCTCGTGCAAATCAAAGTAAGTAATATTCAACATTTTGTGCTTGTACATTTATCTAAAAATATATATGAAATAGTTAGTATTATTTTGCAGATTATAAATAATGAGACAAAATAATAGCTATCAGATTTTAAAGTTATTTCTTAAGTTTTAAAAAAATTGTTTTTATCTGTAGGAATATACGGGTGAGGATGATTCTGAGCTTTATTTGGAGGAACGAGAAACAGCTTTACGGCTAGCCCAAGAAGAAAAAAGGCGGCAGCAAATGGCGGTACCAGGCATTATTAATCCTCACGATATGCCAGAAGAAATGCAGGACTGAATTACCATAGTCCTTGTCTATCATGTTTTGCACATCTGAATGAGAAACACTGTTAAAAAATAATTATTGTATCCTTTGAGCTGTAATTATCCTTATGACATCACCATAAAAAATAGACAAATATTGATTATACTTATTAAAACCGAGTCTGCAAAAAGAAATTACACCCTTGTTAGGGAAGTAAGCCCAAAACGTGGTGAACTGTTTGTTATAGGATTCTAAAAAAAAAATGAAATTCGAATTTCCGTTGTGGATAATAGGACAATTGCCTGCTAGCGATGCTATTTCATGTAATGAAATAAAAGGTTGCTTCTCAGAGAAAATCGATTGTTTAAAAAATGATAATTCTATAAGACAAAAACGTTCACAAATTAATTCCCAAATAATTAGAATTACACAAAAAATGATAGATATAGCAAAAGTAACCAGTCTTGAGAATTACCCTCAAATGATTCGATATATATATATATATTTCATACATGATGAATTTTCTCTATATAAAATTTTCCACGAAACCTATAATACTACTATATTTAAGTTTCGTTTTAGCATTTTTTTCTATGCGAGTTAAGAGAAACGCTATAAGTCCACAGAATTGTTTTGTGCACACTATTGGCCATTTAAATTTCTTGTCGAATGGATATGGATATGTATGTATGTATGTAAGCTTACTTGTGATAGCTTATACTAATGTATTGATACATGAATTTGTTATAATATAAATAATACAAAGAAAGTTTTTCTTGTTCCATACTTTTTATTCAGTCAAAATGATATGTTCATACAACCGAGGATACATTATTATTCAGCAATAATGCCAATAAAATTGATCTTTTTTTTCGAAAGATAACAAATGATGGAACGTATACAGTGATATGAGACGCGTGCGCGAGTGATAAACTTACTTACATCTACTAGATGAGAGAGAGAGAGAGAATGCACACACAGGTATATAATATATCTAACAAACAATCCGAATAATTCAAAACCGTGTAAAAAAATTATATAAATATATATAAACCAGCGCGACCTATTTAACTTGTTAGATGATTAATGCATTTATTTGATCATTATACATATAATAATGATTTCACTGAATACTTGGTGAGTTAGTGTACTTTATCGGGCGTGAGTGAATAGGAAACTTCTTGGTGATCTGCGTGAGATAAGATTTGTGTATAAGGTATCATTGGGTTTGTGATCGATGTAAAAGAATAATTTTTATTGCAATGAATCATATAAATGATTGTCGTATGTATGTTTAAATCAGTGTAGAGCTTTAAAGAATAATACGTCGATATTATAGTTACATGCAGGGGGGAAAGGGGCGATCGAATTTGAAATATGTGAATAATTTGCATAAAATAGTATCGTCGCAAGCAGGCTCTGAAGATGATGTGTACGTGAAGGCGCGTGTTTTTATCTGACGATCAATGAGAGCGAAGTTGTATAAAATACTATCATTATTATTACTATTATTATGAACCATACAGTGAACACTTGTAAATTAAAATGATCGCAACCGTACGTTTAGCACTTATTTAGGTATTCCATCTTATCTCGATTTGTGTTGTCAAATTTAACTTACAATTAGTAATTACAAGAAAAAAAATATTACGCTGAGGAATCTTCCTACCTAAAGATTAGCGACTTATATTGAAGGATCGAGTTTTTTAATACATTCTGTTTTTACAAATCATTGTCGTATCATTAGTCATACGCGGCGTTCTATTGAAATTAAATAAATTTAAATAAACGAATTTGATTCATTGTACTATCACCTTGTTTTTATTATCTAAAACACTATTCTCTTATTATCTATAAAAATATTTTAAAGACAACATTAAAGCTTTGATCTCCAGAGCACAGAAAGATTGCAGAAATATTTTATTGGAGGATTGCAACAATATTGTAAAATGTATTGCTGCAACGTGGTAGTAACATTAATTAAAATGTCCCCTTTCAGAAAGATTGCAATGAGATATTATTACAACATTGCAATATAGACTGCATTGTTCTATTTGATTTGATGTTCACAGCTCTTGTAAGCATCATTTGTCTTTATTTAACAGGATTCTGTTGTCCTGTTTATACCATAACTTCAGATTCTCTAATCTTTTATAATTGCATTTACAAATTTAAAAATCCTTCCATGCACAATTAAAGTATTGAAAACACAATGCGCATGCAATAATTTCGCATAAAAAAACGAAAAAGAATGGGAAAATTATACGTTTTGTTATCAGCTTCCGACATTGATTCTTAATAACATTACTTTATATAAAAGTTTTATGCTTTATGAAACGTATTTATATTTATCTATATATGTATGAAATAAATTTAAAGCGCACTACGGGAAAGAAAAAATGAGAAAATAATACTATCTAAAGAAGATCAATACTATCAAAAGAACAATACTATCTTAAAGAAGAAACTCTATATTCACTCAAAGTGATTTTCATATGTTTAAATATTTTTGTGAATTTATATATCTGATTCTGCAAATTGTGCGCCGAAATCTTTTCCAATCTTGAAACGCATTCATGAACAGAACTCGAGTAATAACATTAAAAAATTGCAATTTAATAATTTTTTTATGCTAATGAGCATTTTTTTATAAAAATAATAATAATAATAATATATTAAAGAGAGCCTAAACCTAAGAATAATTTTATTGCAAAAAATATTGCTTTAGTCAAGGAATATTGTCAAATATTGTCGAAATCTCGTGATCGAATTTTGATATGACGTCCCGGAATCAGAAGTTTCAGGTTTAAATTCTGAGATATTTTTCGAAATAAAATTATTCTTATTATTAATATATTCTCATAAATAGGTGGTTGTGATATAATCCTTTCTCGTCACCTTTAGAGATCCTATACTTTTAGGATTCTGGATTTGTAATCATTCCCTTTCAGCCCTCTCAGCATAGGGACAGTTAGCATAAAAATGGTAATTGTCGTGAAACGTGAATTGCAGTCGTAAGTCAACGCACAATGTTTTGATCATGGTATAAGATAATGGTAATAAGATCATGGTATATTCTTATATCATGCGGCATGTCTAAGACTTAAGTTTCCACGACTCAGTTACAGCAGAGAGAAACCTGAGGGATATCAAGAGCGGCCATTGGCGGACATTAGCAATGGCGGCCATACCGGCTTCCGGCCTTTTTCAAATGACGGTTGGAAGCTTCTTTACACTAGCGACACCAATATCAATTTTATAGAATCATATGAATTATCGACACTACTAATCAAGTTGTAGCATCGAAAAATGTGCAAATCTCATTATTTATGAGATGATTAAATCAGATTTTCGATTTAAATGATAAGACTGATGAAAAAAAAATGACTGAATAGATTACTATCTGATAAAATTTAAGGCTCATATATATTTTTTCATCGATTCCAATTCATTGCTGAATTTCGTCTTAAAAATGCGAAAAAATTCAAATGAATGAGGTAAGATCTGAAAGGGACAAGAATTTTTGTTTGTATCTTATAAATTATTAGAATCATTTTTTGTATATGCATTGTTTTAAAATTAAGTATTTCAAGAGTGAATTAAAGTGAATGAGATTATCGAATAAACAGAAACTACGTATCTATGGAGACATCAGAAACTATTCTCGAAGCTGCATATTTACCTTGCATATCAGTATATATGTATTAGCAAAAGCGCTGTATCTACTTCCCAGGATCGTTTTAATACGCCAGATAATACAAACGGAAATATATTTATTAGTTATTTATTGTCAATACATTTTTTACTGATAAAATGTCGAAAGAGTGGCAAAAACAATCCGATTTTCATGATGAGAAAGAGTGGAAAGGGGAAAGAGATGATAACAGAATACATGAAGAAACTTATGACTCGAATAAATACGTATCCGGACCAAAACGCGTGACGAATGGAACAGTGCCCATGAACATTTTACAGTTTCAGTATCCTTCTTTATAATACAACTAAAATGATTGCTAGATTTTTCTTTTTCTCCTTTCGAGCCACGAATGTTTGCTGATATCGCGATGGTGCATTGAACGCAGACCTCGTATGAATAATATTAAAATAACATTAAAAAATGATTCTAAAATAATTTTACTTTTTGATCACGATTCATTCTAACATTATTTTGAGGTAATTGTGACTTGTTCTGTTTGGGTAATGAAATAACTGTAGGAGTTTCACAAAATTGAAAATATATGTTTCTTAGATAATATTATAGTCATTCATTTTCGTACGATTGTCGGAGATATTTTAATCTTTGTGTGATAGAACCGGACGTTGTCGTCTTTGCTTCTGGTAACATTTTACATTTCTTAAACACTGAAACCAAAAAGCTGTGGTTTAGAAGAGGATACATGGGTGGTGGAATTGGACATGTGACGGTATTCTTTAATTATTTATATCTATATTATAAACAATAGCCATACTTGCTTGGTACGTAAAAACTTGTATACAAAGAATCCTGTCAAAACAAAAATGCAGTAAAAAATAAAATCCATTTTTTCGTTAATTTTTAATAAATTTTTCTTGAAAAAAAATAAAAATTTCGAAAACATGCAGTGCAAATAATTTCTCACGATATTAGTTTGCCGCTTCTTTAGAAAAATCCAATGTTTAATCACATTGCCATTGGTGAAAATGGTATTAAACCTCCAATAATAATCTACGAATGGCCTTCAATGGATATTGTGACAATTTTATACAATGGCACGTTGAAGTCTTATCGTCACTTAAAATATAGGTATTTTATAAAGAATTTAAAACGCAAGATCACATTTATCGCTTCAATATATTTATACTTTAAATATTTAAATATTTTACATATATTTTATATATTTTTATATATTTATATTAGGTGCGCAACTAAGTTCTCGCTGTTATTTTCATGGCATCAAAATAACAACGAGAACTTAGTTGCGCACCTAATATAAATTTATATATTTTACATATTTTTGAAGTACGGATGGTTTGTTGCTGATGTCACAAGGAGGACATCCAGATTACACAATTACCTTCTGGGATTGGCAGAAGTCTAAAATAGCATTAAAATGTAAATCTTACAATAGAGATGTTTACAATATAACGATATCTCCATTGTTACCTGGATATTTAACGACAAGTGGTTCGGGACATATAAAATTTTGGAAAATCTCCAAAACATTTACTGGGCTTAAATTAAAAGGCGAAATTGGTAAATTTGGTCAGACAGAGATCTCTGACATTGTGGGCGTATATATCATGCCAGATGGCAAGGTAACATATATTATTCAAATGTATCAAATATTTTAATTTAGTCATTTTCAACTTAGAATATAGAATTATACTGTTTTTAGATTGTATCAGGCTGCGAGTGGGGAAACATTTTACTGTGGGAAGAAAGCTTAATTACTCTTGAAATATGTAGAAAAAATCAGCAGCCATGTCATGCTAAAGCAATTACACAATTTGAATATATGAATGGGGAACTTATATCAGTTGGTATAAAAATCTTTTATATTAATATTGCGGTTTTTATATTGTTATGGTGACAAATAAGAAAAAGCAAATAATGCAACAGGAGTATTAAAGAAGCATATTATTCAGTAGAATTGAATCAGATATAATTCTAAAAGCTTCTTTATAAATTATCATCGTGATATTGAAATATTAATTTATTAACAATGTAGAAATTTTCAAATGAGAATTTTTTTTTATTTTTATCTTTATCAAAACAGTCTGATGAAAATTCTTCTTAGAATCAATTATAAAATTTTTCAAAATTTTAATTTTTATGTAAATTTCAGAATTTTTTAGAATTTTTTTGTTCTAATTTTGACTTTTTAAAAAAATTTTTTAGACTTTTTATACGAATTAGAATATTTTTCAGAAGTTTCGAAAAAGTGCAGTTCATCTTTTTTAGAACTATTTACATTATACATATGTAATTTCTAAAAAATATTCTAATTGTAAAACTTTTAAGATTTCTCATTTTATAATTTTCAAAGAAATAAATAAAACGTAAAAGAAGTTTAAAATATTTTTTCAGAAATTTTCATAGCTTATAAATACAAAAAAATTTTTTAAATAATACAGAATGATACTTAAATTAAAATGTAGTCAGAATATAGGTACATATCTAGAGATTTAGGCTAAATGAGATAATTCTAATAATTTTTACGAATGAATTGTATAGGTATGGATGGATGGATTCGAATTTGGTTTTATGAAACTATAGATCAAGCAAATCTCTACAATAGGAAACGTTTTCTAGAAATTCAACCTATCTATGAATATCATATCAGTGAGAGCGATGGAGCAAGTGCAATGTTAATGTGTATACATAAACAAAAACCAGATAATCCAGAGAGTACATTTTG